TACATGCTTTTATCTTTTGAAAAAGCAAGATAGACCGTACAGCTACCACATTGTTAGAAGCTTCCCTTCCGGTTGTATTCATGTTTTTATCCTAGCATGAGAGTTTTCAGCTTGGTAAAGTGCAGATATACTTACCTTTTTTTCTTCCTTCCTTTGTTTTAAGTCATTGGTCACTAGATGATAAAAATGACATTCATTTGAAATGTGATTGCTCCAGCAAGGGAGCTTTGAAGGAATGTGTCTCTGGAGGGAAATCAGTATCACCTTTTAGTTCTGAAGCTGGTGTCCTGTCTAATTCTGCCTGCCGCAACACGTACACATAGACGTTCATTACAAGCAGAAGTACTTCTCACTTAAAGGGTTCACACATGTTTGTAAAGCTTATGGGAGATTCTGAAAAATATAAAATCTGCAGAAAACAGTGTGCGCATTTAGAAACATGGACAACTGAAGGAAATTAGGTGTATTTATATATAAAAACTGGAAAAAATACACCTAATTTCCTTCAGTCAATAGGGGAAGTACATAGATTAGGTATAACGTATAAATAAATGTTCATGTTTAGAGAAAATAGGTAACATATACATACATTTCAGTATAGAAAGAAAATATAAGGTCTCACCATCCAGCATGGAAAAGAAATGGGTTGTCTTTGGTGAGGACATGGGAAACGGCCTTCTTTGTTGCTGCTCTGAGACGTTGGAACTCCCTCCCACAGGAGCCCAGGCTGGCCCCATCGTTGCTGTCCCTCCATAAGCAGGCAAAGACCTTTCTTTTCAGGCAGGCTTTCCCTGAGTAACTGGCTGCTAGAGTGGGGATTTTAAATAAATTGTTGTACTTTATTGCTTTGAATGTGTTTTTGATGTTGTTTTTGTTTGACTTTTAGGATATTTGTTCGATCCTTTTTTAGTATTTGTATACTTTTTGGTTTTAGCTTTACATCTTGTCTTTAAATTATGTAAGCCGCCTTGGGTCCTTTTTGAAGAGAAAGGTGGGATAAAAATATTTTAAACGATTATAATAAGTAAGTAAAAGAGAAGGGCAATGAAATCAAGACCAAGGCATTTTACTATCACAGACTTTTAGGATATTTGTTCGATCCTTTTTTAGTATTTGTATACTTTTTGGTTTTAGCTTTACATCTTGTCTTTAAATTATGTAAGCCGCCTTGGGTCCTTTTTGAAGAGAAAGGTGGGATAAAAATATTTTAAACGATTATAATAAGTAAGTAAAAGAGAAGGGCAATGAAATCAAGACCAAGGCATTTTACTATCACAAAAAAGATTCGGAACGCCATATTTATCTCAGGCTGTTATTTCATGCTTAACTAATATCACAAAAAAGATTCGGAATGCCATATTTATCTATCTCAGGCTGTTATTTCATGCTTAACTACGCTTGGTTGTCCAGCAACTTATTTGTTAAAAGTATTTTCCTACTTGATTGTTGTAGGTTTTTCGGGCTGTTTAGCCGTGTTCTGGCGATTTTTCTTCCTAACATTCTGCCAGTCTGTGGCCGGCATGTTCAGAGGACACACACTACACCAGAACACAGATAGAGTTCTGACTCTTGTCCTCTGAAGATGCCGGCCACAGAAACTGGCAAAACGTTAGGAAGAAAAACCTCCAGAACACGGCCAAACAGCCTGAAATACCTACAACAACCATCGCATGCAGGCCATGAAAGCCTTCAAGAACATATTTTCCTACTTGTTTTGCTGAATTTCTTTAGCTATGTAGAACTTTTAAACAATCCACTGTGTGTGTGTGGGGGTCTCTTCTTCAAAAGCATAGTTGCAAATACAGTTGTGACTTTTTTTAAAAAAAATCCCTATAATCAAGCACAATCTTCAAGACACCCATTTTCCTTCTGGAGTTTATTAAATACTTCCTCTGCGGTAAGAGTCGCAATGTTCAGCTTGAATAATCCAAGGGCAAAAGTTAAATTTTTAGGCACTGCCCCCTTTAAATGGTCTGTCTTTTCACAGGGTAATGTAAACACATGGGCTATAAAAGGAAAATGGAGTTAGCATTCCAACCCTAAAAATAAGTATTATCACAACAGTATGCAGACAAACCTCCATTTATATTTTAAGATGCCATTTCTGAGTAGGTTCTTTATACTTAAAATGTTGTTCCTGGGGCCTGATCCTCTTGCTCAGGCATCTGCTCCCTAGTCACATAGGACTGTGGACAGAGATGGAAGTTGAGTTCCCACAGTTAGAGATAGTATTATGACTGAAAATGGGGGGGGGGGATTAATAACGTAAGAACGTTGCTAGTTCAGGTCTGTCATAAGGTCCTAAGGTTTCATTAGGCGGCTGGCTCCCACAAACAGGCAAAGGAGTCTGTACGGGATCTTGCAAATTCAACGATTTATTACCGTTTAACATGGGTGTGTCTATAACCACTTCAGTCGGCATGAACGTATCCGGCTGAGGAAACACTTTTTCAACAAGTCCAACGGGATTAACAGCATAACGTTGCCTCAAAAGGGGGGAGCTGGCCCAAAGTGTTCTCTGTAGGTGGGCTTCCGCAATGGGGCGCTCTGCACCGCACATATAGTCCCGCAACAAGGGTGACGGGCCCAATCCCCCTCAATTGGTGGGTGGCTGAAGCTCGGGTCGGGGCGCACCACCTTCCTCCAGCGACCTCGCCCGCGCGGGAAGACCACTACGGTCCATTCTAAAGTCTCCTGGACTATGATACCTTCCGACTTGTGAGGGGGGTCTGGTAGTAATCCCCCCTACCGACAAGTTAGGAAAGTCATCAATCAAAGACTTTATCTCACGTGCGACCGCCTCTTCTTTCTTCTCTCTCTTCTTTCCTGTCACCGCTCTAAATTCCCCCGTAAAAGTTCCCTCTTCCACGTTCTCCTCCCAGACCTCTACCCATTGTTCCTCCCCTTCCTGTCTCCCCTCCTCCAAGAGGCAGATTTCAGCTTTGACCCCTGTCGGTCTTCTATCTTCCGTGTCTTCACCTCCCCATTCAGCTCCCTCACCTACATTCACGCACTACGGCGCACTATCGATTGGCTCCTCTCACAAGGTCACAGGCTAAGGCCAGTCCAGGAGGTTATTTCCTCCACTAGCTAAGAAGATGCCTTTGAGAATCCCCAAAATTGGACTTGAAGGCGATAATCTTCTCCCACACTTTCTCCCCACAAAACTGCTACGGTTCCATCCCATGGAATCTGGAAATTTGTAGTTCAGTGATGAGCTTAAAGTGTTCTGCTAAAAGTACAGAATTGTACCCTTGCTTGTTGATGCTGCTGTTGCTCTTCTTCTTCTTCTCCTTCTACCTCTTACTCTTGGAAAGCCGAAGAGAGTTCTCAAAGTATGCCAGATGTTCATGGAGTGGTCTCCTGAGGCCACGTTCACCACTGCATGAGATGTATCACACCGTGGTTGTTATTATGTGCCATCGCAATGGATGGGAAAGTTTGGCCCACCCAGCTTTGGATTTTGACTTTTGGAAAGTCAAAGAGAGTTCTCAAAGTATGCCAGATGTTCATGGAGTGGTCTCCTGAGGCCACGTTCACCACTGCATGAGATGTATCACACCGTGGTTGTTATTATGTGCCATCGCAATGGATGGGAAAGTTTGGCCCACCCAGCTTTGGATTTTGGCCCCCAAAACCCATGGCCAGGAAGACCGATGGTAATGGATTATGGGAATGGTAGTAAAAAAAAAAACAACCCACAAAAAACTGGAAGCTCAAGCTTCCTCCATCTTATGGCAAAAACTGTACTCCAGTCAAGATTTAAGCAGGCTGGATAGTTCAGTGGTTTAGAGACCTGGCTGTGGGGCCAGATGTGGGGAGTTCACTGGGAGGCACAGTGGGGAACTGAACTCCCCACTTTCCGCTCCACATCACGTGTCTGGCCTTGGTAATGCTGCATAATTCCAGGATTCCACCAGAAGAAGGGAATAGTAGTAAACCACTTCTAAGAATTCTCTACCATAAATCTGGATTGACTTCGGGGCAAATTATTGTTGTTGTTTACCTAAAGTTTACTAGATTTTCAAACTTGTCTCAATCTGAAGAAGCAGACTTGGTGGACAAGTAATCTTAAAGAGGAAATGAGAAATGCTTATGACGTGATTTAGATAGATGGAAATGCAGGTGAGAGAATTTATAAAATTTACTATAAACTTAGGACGTTAGACACTTAATCAGTTATACAAAATAGGGATATGAAATATAACATGTGTAGATACACACGGATATACTATGATGCAGTATAGGAATAAGGCATAAGATCTCCTGTAGTCAGAAATTATATAATAGATAAAAGTTGGTATGGGAAATACCTCCCCGCTTATATGTTTTGTTGGTCTTATGTGTTTTTTTTAAGGTTTTTTTTTTAAGAGAAGGGGTGACAGAAAGGAAGAGGGGAATTGGAGGTTGATGGGGAAGAGGAGCGACAATAACATACTAACATCTATTCTATACCTATTGCCATATCAAAGTTTCAAATTATTCTATTCACTTTTTTTGCCTTCTAAATTTAAGTTCTCATTTCAATATATGCTATTCATGCTCTGCCTGTTGATTCAGTCCATTTGTTCTTATGTGTTCTTGATTGTCTTGTAAGTTTTTGTTTGTTCTGTAGGTACATATGTCTTAAAAATAATATTTTTTTAAAAAGAAGCAGACTTGTCCACGAAAGCGTATATATTTAAATACAACCTTTAAGGCGCCACAACGTTATGGTCTTCTTTATTTTTTGTTAATTTTGGCTCCGTGTTGGCCGAACGCGAAAGGTTTCGCGCGTCGCCTTTCCTTCCGTGCGCATCCCGGGAAGAAGCAGCGATTCGGACGGCGTGGGCCAGCCTCGTCGACCCGCCGGGTTCGATCCCGGGTTCAAATCGTGCGTTTACAGAGAGGCGCGCCTGCCCCTCCCCCCCCCCCCCCCCCGTCTTCATGGGTCACCTGGTGAGGCTGCTACTGCTGTCACCTTGTCCTCTCTGCGCTTCTCCTTCCCCTTGCCGCCCGGGTTCAGGATTGCGCTCTCGGGGGAGGATCGGAGGAGCGAGGCGCGCCACGCCGAAGAAGCCGGAGAAGGCAGGAGTCGAACCCCCGTCTCCGGCGGCCCTTGAGCGGGACGTTGGGACTTCGGCGGCGTCCTTTCGGGAGGTGTGGCAAGAATGAATGAGATGAAAGTCGCTGTTCTGGGCAGCGAAGGGACGGGCAAATCCGGTAAGAAGTTTCCTCCACTTTCCGATAACTCTAGACGCGGGTAGGAGAAATCCGTCATCTTCTTGCTGGAGAAAGGAGCTCTCTCTTCCCGCCCCCCCAACAAACGGATAGATCTAATTGATTTTTATAACCATTTCCCCTCCCCATCTTATTTTTTAAAAATCCTATTGAGGTTCTTTAGGCATGCCCCATTTATTTGGCAGGATGACTTAGGGTGGGGGGGTCAGACTTCGTTTGTGTGTCAATATATAACACTTTATGACATCTAATTGATTTTTATAACCATTTCCCCTCCCCAGCTTAATTTTTTAAAATCCTATTGGGGTTCTTTAGGCATCCCCCATTTATTTGGCAGGATGACTGAGGGTGTGTGTGTCAGACTTTGTGTGTCAATATATAACACTTTATGACAGATGCTGTAAAGTTTGTGCCGGTCACTGAAAATTAATTTCACAGAGTTTTATTTTAAAAGACAGTCAACTGCTATTTTATATTTCTAGAAACAGAACCTTTACAGATTCGTAAGACAGACGGATCAGCTTAATTTGGGATGTGTGTGTGTAAGGTATCCCCTCATCCTGCCTCTGTTCCTTGCGTATTGTATTGGCACAAACGCTTGAAAAGTGCCTGCTTCTCAAATTTTAAATACTGATGCCAACTTTTTTACAGGCCATGCTCCTGTGCCGTTAACATCCTATTCATGCACAGCAGTTTAGCAGATGATGCTTCTGTCCGCATACATCTCTGGCATCACAAAAAGTTTTATATTCTGAATGATATTCTTCTGCTTAAAGCATAATAGAGGAACATTTAAAAAAAAAATATGTTGGCAGCCATAACTCATAAGGAGGAAACTTCTGGGAGAACAAAGTGCCTCTGCAGAATAATTCCAAACTATAGCCGGCACCGAACCGGCTGCAGTTCAGGATTCAAAGTCTGGGGATTCTGTGATGCTGCATTTGAAATTCCAGAGCTGACTTTGTGCAGTGACATTAATGCAAACTCTTCAACATTTAAAAAAAAATGGATTGGAATTTTGACATTTCAAAGATGGCATTAGAATTTCCACTCTGAATCATGCTGTCATATAGTGTAGGTACAATGCATGGGTCTGTGTTATGGGAGAAGCACGTAGTGGCATGCATGGATCTCACTAGCTTAGGTCCTGCATTTTGTTATCCCAGGCAACGGAATGTAAGTTCAACTGGGCGGATTTTCAGAATGAGCAGGCGAGACAGTTATGCAGTAAAAAAATAAGGGGATATCTGCCATATATCTATCAAGACTGGCTTTTAAAAATATATTTATCGTATTTTGATTTAATCTTCTCTTCAAGAAGTTTGCGGGGGGTGGGTGAGAGCACCAATCCTGTGCAGGAGGTTAGGCCTTTTAAGCAGAGATTGGAGGTCCCCTTGGTGGAGAAATTTTAGGTGTGGATTGCTGGATGACTCTTTTCCATCGCTACACTTCTGTGGTTCTAGGTATTGTAGTGATGGGTTGTCCATCGCCAGCCAGGCATTTCAACCCTGTTTGTTTTGCTCAAATCAAACACTTGAAAAAGTTATTTTTTGTCTACAACTTCCAGATGCCCCAGACAGCATGGGTATCGATCTATGCTAGCTGGGGGAATTCTCTTGAGTTTTAGTCCAAGAATACAACTATTTCAATCTATACTCTGCCCACTAGACTACACTGAGTCTCTTCTAATTTGCAGCCTACCCTTACTGTGTCATCTTGACAGTGATATGTCATTCCAGTTCAGAAAGCTTGCCAGGGTATAAAGGCCTATATGATGCAACAACATTGCTGAAGCTACACATCTGTGGAGTTGCAAACTAGACATATGTTTAGGCTGTTTTTAGAAGAGGTAATCTTTCAGGTTGTCAAAGGCATCTTTTTATCATAGCATGACATTTCCTTCGCCTACATATTTTGCATTTAGCGTGATTGTGGTTTTTTTTGTTCTGCTTTTTTTAAATTGGAAAGTAAATGTGGGCTTAGCTGAAGTTCTTAGCATCATGTTGACCCTAAGGGCAATCAATGCCAGCATGAAAGATGGTCTGGGAATTCTTAGTAAGTCATCTTGATTTCTGTCTTGGAAGAAGAAAAAGCAAGAGATGATTATTGCAAATAAAGTAGATCTTTCCGATCTTTCCATGTGTTTCTTTTTTTCCTGCTAAATATATCAACTCTACCGTTGGCCAGTCTTGCAAAAGGATAATCCATCCAATTAGCTTCTCACCTCCACCTCCTTTTCTAGGAAGGTCCACAGCTTTCCGTAGCCACGACTCAGACAACAAAGTCATGGCTATGCCCACTTAACAGCATTGGGACGTCACTTGTGACAATTTAAGCTAGTTACTTTTACCAAAGCTTGGAAAAATTACCTTAAAGGTCAACCACTACGGACAAAAAGAAAAAAACTTCTGCTGAACTCCAATCTAACATCTTCCATCAGTGTCAACTCCAGAGCATGTGTGCCTGTTTAGAAGCAAGAATTAATCACTTCTGTAGGATTTGCCTTTAGGGATAGAGTCAGTTGGCCTAAGTCAGCTTGAGCCCAATCAAGAACTATGTGTACTAGAGAAAAATGTGAGATCTGAGGCTATTTTCTTCTGAAAAGCAGACAGATATAATATACGTTTTACAGAAATGGAGCATGCTCACCTCTCCAGATGTTGAACAGACAATGCCCATCAGCTTCACCCAGTGTGACCAATGGAAAGGGTTTGTGATAGGTGAAGTCTAAACTCTCTGGGCAGCAAAATAATCAATTGTCTCATTACTGTCCCAACTCTGGACATGAGGGTCCTGTCTTCTGCTTGAATTTATGGTATCCAGCAAACCCAGTGTTGGTGGTCTGACATGCTTGGCATCCTTCCTGTTGGGCAGACAGCTTGAGAACCTTCGTAGGTCCTTACCGAGAACCAAGGGTGTGTTTTAAAAGATTGGCTAAAAAGTTAGGAAAGAAAGCATTGTGCATCATTTCCATAGAGTGACTGTTTCTCACGTTTGGCTTTTCAAATCTGTCATTGCAGCCCTTACTGTGCGCTTCCTAACCAGGCGTTTCATTGGAGAATACGCCTCCGACTCTGGTAAGCATTCACTAAATTTGGAAGTTTGTATCTACTTTGCATCTTGAAGAATATTCACGCATCATATCTGTTAAGTCATGCATTAGGGGTGGTTTGAGATAGACATTCAGAAATTCTTCATTGAGGATAACCATATAGGTAAACAAACCTGCCATTTCAACAACAATAAATAGGAATATTAGGAACAGCATACATACTGTCCCAATATTTAACTGATAGGTTTTTGGTTAAAACTCGTATCTGTTACATAATACCAGTCAATGTTGTTATAATTTTGATTGACTGTGCCCGGTGCATTTGAAGAAGAAGAAGTTGTTGTCGTAGTAAATTGTGACTTATGGCAACTTTTTCAGAGTTATGGTTTATGTTGGCCCTTTTTCATCTTTTCTATAAAGTGTTTAGTCCACCCTTTTTGCCTCTATGTCCTACAGCAGATGGGGAATGTGGTACCTTCTAGATCAGAGGTCTCCAAAGTATGGCCTGCGGGCCACATCTGGCCCACCTGGCCTTTTATCTGGTCCGTCTGGGTGTGCGTGCATGTGGAGGGGTGGGCAGGGGGGGCGGGG